TACCCCACCATTGTTCCGCCCGAATTTGGTCGTTTCGGGGGTAGTTAGCGGTTGGCCGTTTGCCTCCCCCACATTATGACGAGTAGTAATCAGGGTAGTAGTCGTTGCCGTGACCGTAGTAGTCGTCGGAGTCGCCTCCATAGCTATTATAGCTGTAGCTGTAGCCGCTACCATAGCCCTTGTAGTCGTCGCCGCTACCGTATCCGTAGCCTTTGTGCGTGTAGTCACTTTGCTTATAATCATCGTGGCCGTAGCTATCGCGGCCACAGTCATCGTGACCATAGTCATCATGACCATAGCCGTGGTGGTCGTGGTTGTGACCATAATCGTCTTTGCCGTAGCTGTAGTCGGAAGACTCGGTAGCCTTGGTGTCCTTATAATCGGTAGCCTTGGCGTCCTTACCGTCCAGGCGACGACGGTAGTAGCGCGAGTGGTCCTTCTTGTCGTGGTGGTGGTGTTTCTTGCGGTCGTGGTCGTGCTTGTGCTGGCTGTGGCCGTAGTCCTTGTAAGACCCGAGTTGACGACGTGGGGGCATTCTATTAGCAGCGTCAGTCGCATGCAGAATAGAAGCAGCGACACACAGGCCCACTATGGCGACAAATTTGGAGTGCATCTTGTTGGGCAGTTGCAAAACTAGTTGATGGAGCTGGAGGTTGGTTGTCGAGTGTCAGGGAGGAAGCGAGATGACAAGTGAGAGAGCGAGGAGGCTAGTCCGATCGAGCTGCGGTCTGGGCGTTGATGTTGCATCAGCCATCGTGGTCACCCCTCGTCGTGGCATTGTCTTTCTTCGCTCGCTGTGATTGATCGAGAAGACGATGAGAGAGAAGCGTTGAGAGAATGAGTCGAGTCAACAATAAGTGATAGACTGCAAACTGTAGTTATGCAGACATCACGGACTAGGAGAAGTATATTAGACGTATTTTGAGAATGCACGATCACACGAATACTTACACAATCTAATACTTCGAGGTACTATTATTGCAACAAGAAAAAGCAACAGCGGACTCTTGTATTACTTTATCAGCAAATGTTGGACTACTACATCAACTCAACTTCAATTCCTTCAGTGACTTCTACTACTACTACTACTACAACTACTACGACGACGACTTGCCACAACAGCTACTACTACGGCCACTTCCGCTACTACTACTACTACGGCTACTGCCACTACTACTAGTGCCACTACTACTACTACTACTACTACTACTACTCAAACAAGGGCAACTTGTCGATAGGCTCTCTACGTACACGACTCCACTAGCAGAGCACTGCATAGAGAGAGAAATGAATGCACTGATGGGTCTTACTTGTATATGACACAAGGTTTGTTTTGCAAACTCACGCAGATTGACAGTGATTGCACGTCCGCGTGCTGTAATTCTTGGTTTCTACTCTATATCGTTAGATTCTACTCTACCGCTGCTGCAATCGGAGCATTGATCTACATCGCAAACGACTTTAGCAACTGATAATTCGGGGACACATGTCACTTTAACATGGTAAAGCGATCACATCCATTGACTTTGTATTCCTCACACCTGCCACTTTAGTTTTCTACGCTACACAGTTCAACGCGGGCTTACAACGTCTTTCACCCATATACTACTTTTCTCACACGGTTTCAGCTTGATTTTACTTGTCATTCGACTTGTCGGTGGCGTCCGACTTGGTCTCCTTCGACGCCTTTGACTCCGTCTTGCTCTCCTTCTTGACCGACTTGACGTCGGCAGCGTCCGTAGACACAGTCGCAGACTCCTTCTGACCATTCGCAGTCGCAGACTCTTTTTCGCCACCAGTAGCACCGACACTCGCTGTGGCCGACTCATAACCAAAGTAGCCCGGGTACCCGAAGTAGGAGTAGCCGTAGCCGCCGTAACTTGGGTAGCCGTAGGAAGAGAAGTAGTCCGGGTAGTATCCATTTCCATTGCCATACCCACCATTGTACGACGAAAGTGGGATTATCGTCAGATCGGGCTCAAGGTAATCGCCTCACGGATCCGGTCTCGCCACTGGACCAGACAGCCACAGGCTCTTCCGACACTTCCTCGGGCACCCTGCAGCGACACTTCGAAGCTGCGATGAGTCGTTTCCTGGCCGAACAGGGTATGAGAGCGCCCGTATCACAAGTGCCAGTGCTCCACGAACATGGAGCACGAGATGTGGAGATGGAGTCAGTGGAGGGAGACAACTCCCATGATGAGTTCGACCCAGATGATCGGGAGGCCCATCCCCGTCGTCAGCGGTGGTAGCAACAGCCGCAGCCGGGGCAGGTGGATCGTCCATGATCCAGAGGGTACGGATCTCAGCCATATCGGATCTAAAGGAGTTCACGGGCAAGGATCAAGATGAGGACCGAGCGAGAACATGGATCAGCAAGGTCAAGTCGGCCCTCATGAGAGATCAAGCGTCGGATGCCGAGAAATGTCTGACTTTTGCGGATCTGCTAGCGGGGCCAGCCAGGAATTGGTATCGGCAGCTGGGTAGATCCACCAGGAACAAGTGGCCGGATCTGCTGCGCAGTTTCCAAACCCAGTACGGTGGATTGGGGGTGTCGGTGGCACGACAATACTACCACGCTCGCCGCAGATGGGACGAATCCCCGCTGGAATATCTGCATCGACTAAATGTGGCCGGTCTGCGGGCCAAGTTGACGATCAAGGATGGGGGATCCAAGGTACTACGGGAACACGTGGATCAAATCCATCATCGAGACGTTGGGAGATGTGGATCTGGCCGACAGGCTGACCCTGTTACGTCTTCCAGACGCAGATGAGCTTGAAGAAGTGCTGCGGGCTGTGGATCGCGCGAAACATCGCCATAAGAAGGCGGCGGTTGGATCCGGCAAGTATCGCCAAAACGCTCCGACACCCACGGCCCCAGCTCGACGCGTCCACCAAGTCACGGCGCCCGACTCAGGAACTGAATCGGGATCCGATGGTTCGGACTCCGACCCAGAGGATTACCCCCGAGTCTGTCTCACTGCGCCCAACGATCGTACAGTGAAGACCGGAGACAACTCCCGCACTGGCGATACCGTACCTGGGGACCGTGGGATGTACAGATCCCGAGATCTCATGGACGGGATAGGACAAATCAGGTGCTCGCAG